AATTCAAAATCAGCAGGACATCAAATATTATTTCCTTCACTGTGTGTGTATATGTATATGCCCTTCTTGGCAGTCTTAAAAATTGGTGTTACAATGTGCATTAGCCTCCCCTTGCATTAAAGGCATATGTGTATTTTCAGGAACTTAACCAGTAACTATCAGAGGACAATACTCTATAATACCAGATGGCCTAATCCCCCACTGTAGCATCAACCTTATTCACTTACCACCAGCTGCAGGCCATATAGCAAGACACCATGAAACAAAGTACTCTTCTCTCTCATATATCAATAGTATGTAAACTATTGGAGGGGGTGATAAGGGACTATATTCAAGAATTTGCTGATGAAAACAGTATTATTAGTAGTAATCAGCATGGATTCATGCCATATCGTTCTTGCCAAACCAACCTGCCAACATTCTACGAGGAAGTGAGCTGCATAGATAAAGGAAGGCCTGTGGATGTGGTGTATCTGCTTTTTGCAAGAGCGTTCAATACAGTCTCAAATAAAAGCTTAATTTACAAACTGAGGTCTTTAGGCATAGACCATAGAAATTATTCATGGACAGAAGACTGATTACAGTGGCACATCCAAAATATGGTGATAAATTACATGTTCTCAGACTGGTCTGAAGTGGTAAGTGGGGTGCCCCAAGGCTCTGTCCTGGGACCAATTCTGTTTAATTTATTCCTAAATGATATAGAGGTTGGTATAAATAGCTCAATCTCAGTGTTTGTTGATGATACAAAGCTAAGCAGGGCAATAACTTCACAGCATGATATAGAAATTTTACTTTACAAGAAGACCTCAATAATACATGGCAATTGAGGTTAAATGTTGAGAAATGTAAAGTAATGTACTTGGGGGCTAAAAATATGAATGCATGTTACTCGCTAGGGGGAAAACCTTTGCGGGGATCAAGGACAGAAAAAGATCGTAGTAGATGATAGACTCATTAATAGCATGCAATGCCAAGCTGCAGCAGGCACAGCTGGGGGAATATTAGCATGTATAAAAAAGGATATTTACTCAAGAAATAAACCTATAATCCTACTATGCTATAAAACTCTGGTTCAGCCACATCTTAAGTATGCCTTCCAGTTCTGGTCTTCAGTCCTTAGCAAGGATGTGCTGGAACTGGAGAGAGTCCAGAGAAGGATAACAAAGCTATTTAGGGAACTGGACTCCTTTATGAGGAAGAACTACAAACATGAAACGTATTCTCCCTGGAGAAGAAATGCTTGACAGGAGATATGGTAGTGATATACAAATATCTTAAAGGTGATTCTAGTGTAGGGAATAACTATTCGTTCACAGGGAATATAAGAAGACACATGACCACTCAATGAAATTGGAGGAGAATGGGTTTAACCTTAAACTGCGTAGGGTGTTTTTCACTGTCAGGGCGGTAAGGATGTGGAACTCATTTCCACAATCAGTGGTGTCAGCGAGAAATATATAATTTTTTAAAAATGGACATATTAGCGAACACAGGAGTATACAGGGATATGGGAAATGATTTTTGACAAACACACCCACACAGGTTGAACTGGATAGACTGGTGTCTTTATTCAAGCTTACCAACTATGTAACTATATGTCATATACTGTATATCAAAACAAACCTTTTATAGTTTTCTAAAGCAAAACACATCATGGCCGTCCATCCACAATAAATTTAGTCAGGTAGACAGTCTCTGATTGGGCCCTTTCATGTTCCTGCTCCATGAAAACGGTCTATCTATCGCTGTGCTCAGTTACCCTCTGTACTGGGTTTGGATATTGGGTGAGATTAAATTGTTTTTACTTATAATACAGCAAAACTTAGAATGAATAGATTTTACTTTGTAGTGAATTCTATTCATTCAGTGAGAGATGATCATTGTGTTCAAACCTCTAAATATGCCTGTGGAGTTTGGAGTGCTCATGAGACATTCTGATTACTAGACACATGTGATGATCATTGGAAAATCATTTGCTGGGAGCAACCTATGCATGGTGCACATACGGGAGATTTAACAAAGAGTGCTGCAAGCACAATGCTTGCATTACTCTTCTAAACATAAAATAGAGCAAATGCTGCTCCTAATTAACAAAAGGGGTGCAAGCCCTTTTCTTAATTTCGAGCTATCAGTTCTGCAACTGTGACAGACACAGCACAGAGAACAGGAAGCTGGAGCTACATGCTCTGTTCCAGGGGCGTCCCTAGGCAGGTGCAGGGGGTGCGGGCCGTACCGGGTGACACTTTTTTCATGGGGTGACACTAGACCCGCTCCACCAGGGGTGGACTGACCGAGGGCCTGGGGTCACTACAGGGCCCCATGAGAGGCTCAGTCCACCCCTGTATGTGCTGCTGCTGAAATAAGCAAGCATTGAGGGGACGGATTGAGAGTATGCAGCAGGTCAGTGTGTAATCCCCGGACCCTGGTGACAGCACTGCAGCTTCATGTAGTAGGTAGGGGGGAGAGAGGGGGGGGAAGAGGGCAGAGAGAGAGGGGGGGAGAAAGAGGAAAGATAGAGGTGGGGGAAAGAGAGCAGAGAGAGGGGGGGGGGAAGAGGGAAGATAGAGAGGGGGGGGAAAGAGGGCAGAGAGAGAGGGGGGAGAAAAAGAGCAGAGGGGGTGGAGAAAGAGGGCAGAGAGAGTGGGGGAGAAAGAGAGCAGAGAGAGGGGGTGTCACCAAGTGTTCCGGCACTGGGTGACACCAACCCTAGGGACGCCCCTGCTCTGTTCTCTCTTACCGTCTGTGTAGTCATCCAAACCAAGCAACCTCTGTCACTGCAAGGTTATAAAATCAATGCAAAATCTGTTAGAAAATGGGCATTGAATAAACAGTCACAATGGATATATAAATAAGCCAGACAAAGTATACTATATTAAAGCTTTTTATTGCTAAGTGCTCCCCAATACAACAAACAGCATCAGTAGTGTACACTTAAAAAAGGTCACGAAATGAGCTCTGTAAGAAATATATGGTAAAAAAAAGCGAAATACAGCATAATGAATATCTACATCCAGACAATAATAGGGTATGAAGAAAAATATTTTTTACTAAATTTCTGTCTTGGCAGTCATAAACTCAATTGTCTGTCTGTGGTCAGGGGTTGTCTGAGTACTAATCTAGACTATAGTTCTGACCTTCTAAACTTTATAGTGGTGTCACATAAAGCCATTGAAGGTGTCAAGTCAATACTTTAGGGTTAGCTTATGCACAATACATTACATAGAAAAAACCCACAATTTACTTCTAAGGTCTAGTTACAGGTACGTTTCATATTGACTTTGTTTCAATGCATTACTTTATCGTCAAAATTTTACATTGGATTTCTAAACCTAATTATACACATCATTGACATGTAACGTTTTTTTTTTTTTTGTTGTTATCATGGACAATTCTTTCAATAAAAATTGTTTGTCAAATTTTAAACTAGTTATGTTTTACATGAAATGGATTCATCAAATGATTGGTTTTTGAGCGCCATATTTTATGCAGTAGTTTCCGGTTTAGCTTATAACCTATGTTTGCAAAGGACTGTCGTGCAAATTGCTTACCTGCTTTTTAATATAGACAAAAAAAACTATGCGGATGCTATCATTGTAAATATTCAGTAAATAAAATCTATCAAGAAAATCAATTTTTAATAAATATCTTCACTTTTATATTCTATATACAAGTACTTTACAGCTACATGAAAGAGCAAGACTGGTGAAATTGGTGAAAAATATGATCTGGTAGACCATGTTGCAAATATATTATTGCAGTCAGAAGCATTGTGGTTGTGAAATGTGAGGTGAGTTTTGCAAAGAAAAAGAAAATAAAGAAAAATAATAAAATAAATATCTCTCTTTGGTCAGTGATTGGTTTTTGGAATAATTATTTATTTTATGGCAAAGATGTGCAATGACTAAATGGTGATAAGTTATTTGTTGGTTGGAGCCCAAGGCTCTTTTCAATTGAAAAAAAAATGTGTAATTTTGTTAGTAATTCTATTCTATGTCTCTTTACTTCCTCTAAATAAAGAGGCTGTCCATTTGAGCTCCTCCTGCAAGCATACCTATTGTTCCACGTGCATCTTTGAAATGGAAGAAGAAATATTCTTCTCAGTAGATTAGACTCTACTAAATATCTTCCAATCTTCCCTATTTTGGTGAGGCAGTTCTAATTGTAGGACTATAACAAGGAAGCACTCACTGAGAAATTATGTAGATTTGCTAAAACATAAATTTAGTTTGGAGCCCCTAGGCAAGGTCATGATGAATAAGAAGTTGGATTTGTATTGATGGCATTGTTTTCTAACACGTGGGAGATATATCCAATAACTTCCATTATCTAATATGTGTATTTTCCTTCTAATCCATCTTCTTTTTCCAGTATAATATAACCAATACCTAAGTATAGACAAGGATAACTGTACAGTGATAGTAAGCAAAGTGGTTTTAAAAGACATGCTTTGTCTTGCCAATAAGATGTTACTGAAGGTTTGAAAATGACAGTAATAAAACCATTCAAGATGATGAAGAATACTTTAGTCAAATAAACATGTCATATAGAACCACTGGATTAGGATTTACGAAAAAGATTCACCTCGTGGAATGTAAGGCAGATTGTACTGACAGGCAAATAGCACCGAAAAAAAAAAACTTAAAACCAGTAAACAATACATAATCAGAAAAAAAAAGAAAAATAATACTGACTTTGCAACATTCAAACATCTACACAACAGCTGAGGAACATTGTCTTTAGAGGTGGAAAAAAGTGTCACCTGGTTTCAAAAGGAAAAAAGAACACTAAACTGATTCTTGGTTATGGGCCAGTGAATAAACCCAGCAAATCATGACTGGGGATCTTTGGTGTTTTTCCTACAATAATTTCAAGTTACAAATGAAAGCAAAGAACAGTTGGAAAATGGACGAATGAGTAAGTGAACCAGCACTTTGCACTTTTTTTTAAAGCAGAAAGCACCAATGTGTCCTTTTGCTCCAGTCCCTAAGCATTTAAGTTCATCTTTCTATAGAGGACGACTGTAAAGAACGTCTCTTCTCTTGAGGCTTATCATTTCTCTTCAGGGTTTTTACTGAAGAATGAGCACCTGTTGAGCTGGAGTTAGCACCTGCTGCAAGCGGCATGGCCGCTCCTGATGATTTATGTGTATGGATGTTGCTGTTGTGAGTTGCTGCAGATGGGGGAACAGCAACAAGTTTAAAAGTCTTGCTTGCTGCTAGTTGTGATCTCCTTAATGCTGGATCTGATGTCTTTGCTCGATTCTCTGTTGGAGACACGAGGCCAAGATCTGCATTGCTTTCTATGGAAGAAAGAATAGTCAAAAGACTTCTAGCTTCAGATTCAGTTTCTTCATTGTCGGATGATAAAGATGTGGGTATCATTCCTGCTCTTGATGCACTGGGATCAAAAGAAAGTTCATCCTCAGTTTCTGCTGCCTCTGTGAGGAATGGGGGAGACTGAGTGCTGCGTTTGCTGCAGGATTCACAGCAGAGCTTGTTGTAGCCCGGTATTGAGCAATATCGTGCAAGTACCTCCATTTGGCAGAATATGGACTTATCTCCTAAGCATGGTTCATCTGAAAAGCAACAGAAACATACATGATTTAAGTTGCATTGAAACTTTAAACTGCACCTGTAAAAAAACAAACTTGTTTTGTGGTAAATATATTTAAGAGGCAGATTACTTGAAAGGCATCCTAGTTAGAGCTGTAGATAACTAAGGTCCTGTGGGTTTAACCACTTGCCTACGGGGCACTTATACCCCATTCCTGCCCAGGCCAATTTTCAGCTTTCAGCGCGGTCATACTTTGACAATTGCGCGGTCATGCAACACTGTAACCATATGAGATTTTTAGCATTTTTTTGAGGCTGATAGAGCTTTCTTTTGGTGGTATTTAATCAACTCTGGGTTGTTTATGTTTTGCTAAACAAACCAAAAACAACTAAAAATTTTGAAAAAAAAAAAATGTTTTTTCTTAGTTTTTGTTATACAATTTTGTAAATAAGTGATTTTTCTCCTTCACTGATGTGTGCTAATGAGGCTGCAGTGATGGGCACTGATAGGCTGCACTGATGGGCACTGATAGGTGGCACTGATGAGGAGGCACTGGTAGGTGGCACTGATGGGCATTGACAGGCATCACTGATGGGCACTGAAAGGCAGCACTCATATATGGCACTGATAGGCAGCACCGACTGGCACTGATAGGCGGCACTGACTGGCACGGTTTGGTGGCACTGACTGGCACTGTTAGGCGGCAATGATGCACACTGATAGGCGGCACTGATAGGTGACACTGAGTGGCAGCACTGATAGGTGGCACTGACTGGCATTGATAGGTGGCACTAACTGGCACTGATAGGTGACACTGAAAGGCAGCTCAGAGGGGCACTGATATGTTGCATTGATGTGCACTGGTAGGCACTGATATGTGGCATTGATGTGGCACTGATGGGCACTCGCAGGTGGCATTGATGAGCACTGACAGCTGGCATTGATAAGCACTGACAGGTGGCACTGCTGGGGCTTCACTGATCATCAGGGCCCTGATGATCAGTGTACATGTCCCCTCTGAGGAATGCCGATTACCGGCTCTCCTCTCCTCACGAGCTGTCAGCGTGACAGCTTGTGAGGAGAGAAATGCCAATAACCGACATTTCCACCTCTGGCACACCCCTTGATGATGTAATGTATGATGAAATGCATAAGGTGGAGCCATGCACACACGCTACCATGCATAGCCGACCGGCCGGAGGCTATCTTGGATGCTGGAAGTCTGATCTTAGTGCTGTTACACGCTGATATATGTCTTTCATCATGTGAGTGTATTTTTACTACAATAAATTGCGTTATTTGAGGGTTTTACACTTTGTGGAGAAATCTGTTATTACATGTTTAACGCCACGAGTTCTGGTCTTATACAACTTGCTTGGTGTGGTTGGAGTCACTACATATAGGGATCATCTTGGGTGGATTACCAGTTTCTCTTTTTTGGGTGTCCAGGGGTTATGCCCTCCGTCCATATCCCTGGAGGTCTTTTAAAAAAAGCGTGATTGACCACTCTTATTAGGGGGTCACACACTTTCTGGTAAGGCATGCATGCAAGTAGGTGGTGCCACATTGGCTATCCTCGGAAGTCTTCCTATCTCATCATGGCATTTGGGGACTGTTCTACTTTGATTTTATCATTAGATATTTCACCTATGAACATTTTGAATCACTTTTGAAGTTTATTTTGTTTAGAATGTTTAAGCGCTCCACTTTATTTGTACACTATTGAGTAGGTGCCTGGTATCAAGGTACGGTGTTCAGCTGCTATTTATTGGTGGTTTATTTCCTAGCGCAGTTTTTGAGATATACTTTAATAATAGCAAGCTTTAAAGTTCCTGGGTTGTAGAATATCACAGAAAACAGGACCTATTACAGCACAAAAGTAACTGGACACTGTAACTAGCAGAGATAAAAACAATCCTGAATTTAAGACACTCCTAAATATTTGGTTACTGCTTAACTAAACAGTATTGAACTCTTGAATCTTTAGCTAATTAGAAGCATATGGACTTGTTAGCATTCATTATTTTTATTAAGCTTTTTTAAATTCATACCAATTTTTAGGAATGGGGTTGTTCACATTTCAGTTTTGCTGTGGAAGTGTGTTCTGTTATGTGCTCCTAAATTCCTACATGCTGCAACTAGGGTGTGCTTTGCAGTAGGTGCATTGTTGACATCCTCCAAGACCGCTTACCACCACATTATGAAAATTGAGATTCTTATTGACCCATAGTTTTCCAACCAAATGTCTAAATGAAGTCTATAACTAAAATTTTCTTCCCATGTTGAACTTTACTGCCTAGCTTATCAGTAAGGTGGAACATGGGACTCTGTTGGTGCAAATGCCAAATAAAGTCAGAATTGTAGGCAAGGGTTATTTCAGCACCTGACACCTAGCAGGTGCAGTTCATTACTGTGTTGGTAACCTCATTCCCCAATGATTTACTACTTACAATTTAGGGTCAAAAATCCCCGGACATGTCTATTGCACCCAGTCAGTATTTCAATTTACTCATTGTCTCCATTTATATAATACCAACATTCATGCAGGGCTTTATGGAATGTATAAAACCATTCACATCAATAACTGTTTCTGGATAATATATAATCTAATAACGTATAATCTAATGTCACTGACATACTCATCCACTGTTAGACTACCAGTGTGTCTTTAGGTTAGTAAACCAGTTCACTCAGACTAAAACTTCACATACACAGAAAGAGCATACAGACTTCATTCATAACTCCACATTTTTTGTTTTTGTAAGTGGTCAGCCGGCAGTAACCAATAGTCATAATGTCCCCCAAACGTAGTTTAGACACTGTCACAGCATTTCAAATACAACAAATGCAAATGACTTTTAATATCACACACTCACAAAATTATTAATTCTTTTAGATTGCCCCAATTTACTACTAATACCCTATTTGTACTTAATCTAGCCAAGGTAAATGGTGTGAATCCCAGCAACATAAGGGTATACACAGCACCTTAGAAGAGTAGGAACTAGAAGACACATATTTATAGCAAACTGTACTCAAAAAAGTGTAAGTGTAAAAGCACCTCAGAAGATACATTAAGACATTTCAAAGGGTACTGTAAAGTTAAAGTGGTTGTAGAGTCTGAAGGTTTTTTTACCTTCAAGCATTCGATGCATGAAAGTAAAAAACCTTTTGCGTGTAGCAGCCCCCATCAGCCCCCCCTCCATACTCACCTGGGCCCCTTCTCAATCCAGCGATGTACATGGGAGCCTCAGCTGTCCCGGGTCTCTCTCTTCTTATTGGCTGAGACACAGTAGTGGGAGCCATTGGCTCCCACTGCTGTCAATCACAGCCAGTGAGACAATGAGGAGAAAGCAGTGGGGCTGGGCCAAGCTGTGGGTCTATGTGTCTTATGAACACATAGAGAGGGGCTTGGGAGCAAGCACGCACCACTGCCCACATAGCAAGTTGTTTGCTGTAGTTGGCACTGGCCAAGGGGAAGGAGCCAGGACCGTGGCGGGTGATCTGAGAAGAAGCAGATTGGGGCTGCTCTGTGCAAAACTATTGCACAGAGCAGGTGCGTATAATGTGTTTGTTATTTAAAAAGAAAAAAAAACCCTTTAGAATCACTTTAAGGTTTGTATGTGCTTCAAAAAAGAGTATGTGAGAGGCCATGGGTTAACACCACAAACTGTAAAATATCTTTCAGCATTTTTAAACATTAATTACTTTGTGGATATGTGCTTGACGTGGAGGCAAACTTCAGACAAGCTATGAAGATGAGAATTAGCATAAGATGTCCCTGTACTTTTAATTTAATATTCCTAATTGCAGGTAGGTTTTGACAGTATTATATTTAAAAGGTATTAGCAGGTCCATCCAAAGAGTTTCTTTAATTAGATATGCATACCTTCAAAAAATTGCTATTTGTCTGCATTACAGATTAATATTCATCTGTAAAACCTAAATGTGGAGCTGTGTAAAGGGTAACGTTGTATAAACATGGTAATGCAATGCACCCACTTAAATGATTTTCTCAGTTGCCAAAATGTAAAGACTTTATGCAAAGTTGTAAGTAAAATTTAAATTTAGATTAATCTCATGAGCCTGGATCTAACAAAAACTAACTCACATATGCAATCTTTCGTCATCTCTACCCACAACTGCTGTGAATCCTCACCAGCCAAACACCCCCCCTCCCCCTTAACCCAATGAACCTGGTCCTTTTCTTTTCCTTTCCAAATGCCCTCTTTTCTCCTCTCCTACACCTTTCCCTCAACAGACCTTCTTTCCCGTTTCTTTTCTATTTCTGCTGCTATGGCTGCACTTTACACTGCTGTCATCATTGTCCATATACCTTATATAACATTATTTATTTATTTATTTCAGGTACTTATATAGCACCATCAATTTGAGCAGCACTTTACATATATATATTATACATTCACATCAGTCCCTAACCCTCAAGGGGTGTACAATCTAAGGTCCCTAAATCACATTCATACATACACATTGTATATATACACATAATTGCCTTTATGACTTTAATGTCTATGTACAAATTTTGTGATACCTAAATATGCAATTTTTGTATTTCTTGAATCTTTCTAATAAAACATTGAACAAGAATGTTCATTGATAGCAAAAAACCTGGCTGTCAGAGATACTGTATCTATGCCAGGGTTACAGGCAACATTAAAAAGAGGTTAGAAGAACAAGCTCTGCCTCCATCGCACCTTTTGCACTTAATCTGACTGAGGAACTGCACTAACTTTCAACCTGGCATGGATCTCGTTTAATCCTTATACAATTGTGAGAAAAGGTTATCCAAAATTCAACATGACTAGCCCATAGATGTCAGGTGTTCCTAAAATTGCAGATGTGGGTTTGACCAGTCTTGCCACATAAGAAGAAATCCCAGGAAGTCACTGGTCTAATTAATTTCTGTTGTTATGTGTGTTTTTCTTTGTACTGTTTATATGAAAAAAATTTTTTTAACATAAATTAACACTTAGGGGTCTATTTATAAAACATTAATTTGTG